TTGTGTAGTTCTGACTATACTGAAATTCTCACAGGCCAGGCTGGCCTTAAACTTAGAGATCTGTCTGCCACCATACCCAGAGTAATTTTTCTTTACATACTGCTACATGATCACTAAAAAGGTTATGCCTACAAGATTATCTCTCTCCCCATTTCTACAATGATGCACTCTGCAGTAGTCTCCTCCCCACAAATATTTGAATATCTCTAGTTTTCATTTATTAACAGACATTTCCTTAGCTCTTGATTTGACTTCCATGGCATTTTATTTTTTGCAGTACAAAGAACAGAACCCAGACCAGTGTACATGTGGACAAGAGTTCTAAAACTGAACTGTCTTTCAACCCTTGTTTTTTGTTTTGTTTTGTTTATCCGAGACAGGATTTTTTTTTCTCTGTGTAGCCCTGGCTGTCCTGGAACTCACTTTGTAGACCAGACTGGCTTCGAACTCACAGAGATCTTCCTGTCTCTGCCTCCTGTGTACTGGGATTAAAAGCGTGTGCCAACATGCCTGGATCCTTGGTGGGTTTTTTTGTTTCTTTTTGTTTTTTAAATACAAGTTCTCACTCTATAGCCCAGGCTGGCCTTAAACTTTTGATTCTCTTACCAATGACAGGCTTGTGCCAACACATTCAGCTTCACCTTTTTTCTTTTTCCTGAGACAGGGTTTCTCTGTATATCCCTGGCTGTCCTGGAATTCTCTCTGTAGACAAGGTTGGCCTCAAACAAAGATCCGTCTGCCTCTGCCTCCACAGTAATAGAATTAAAGGCATGCGCCACCACATTCTAATGCTAGTACCCTACTATAACTAAAATCCCAATATCCAAAGACTTCAAACTCTAGGCTGGTGAAATAACTCACTGGGTAAAGACACTTGCCGCTAGGCCTGATGATTAAGTGTGATCTCTGTGACCCACGTGGTAGAATCTCATGTAGCCCAGGCAGGTCTAAAACTCACTATGTAGTCACCTCCACCACCACCCCCAAATGCTAGTATTACAGGTGTACAATACCATATCCATTTCCCCTTCCCTATTATTGTTACCTGTCTCCAACCTCAACCAAGTTCTAGAACCACTCGATCTTTTTTATAATGGTTTATTTTTAGTTTATGGGCATTAGTGTTTTACCTGCAGGTATGCATGAGGGTGTCAAAAAACTGGAGTTACAGACAGTTGTGAGCTGCCATGTAGGTGCTGGGAATTGAATCTGGGTCCTCTAAAGAGCAGCCAGTGCTCTAAACCACTGAGCAATCTTTCCAACCCTTGTAGAACCACCTGAAACAGAGTTCCTCTATATGTATGACAACTAAACCTCAAACTATGTTGCCCCAAACCAAGAATGGAAAAAAAAGGGATGCTAACATGCTCTTAGTGAATTGCAGGGAGAGAAAAATCAAAGTTTGTCTACCAACAATAATGCTTTTGCAGGTTATTTTCCTCTTATCTCATTTCCTTCTTAACCTTTTTTCCTTCTTAACCTGTTTCAACTCTCCATCTCCTAGTTTTCAATTCTGTTCCTGGTTCTTTTTGTTCCTTTTTTTCTTAGTCTTGAAGGCGGTATGATTTCTTTCCTGGAAATTTAGAAGGACGCATAGCAAAGACTAGGAAACTTAACTCCCATCAAAAGCAGCAGCCACAGCTCAACAACCAAGTAAACCACAAGTATTCAAGAAATTATCTAGTATCCCCCGTGAATGCAAACTCGTGACAGCCACGATGGCCTGGACCTGGCAATCTAGTTTAAGAGATGATGCCAAAATACACAAAAGGATCAAACATAAAGCCATCAGAAGACTGCAGTACATCATTCAAACAAAACAAAACAAAAGCACACACTCACAGGAGAGCTGATGTACTAGGACACCTGCAGTTCCCAAACTCTGGAGACTGACTTAGGAGCATTGAGAGTCCACAGCCCACCTGAACTACACAGCAGCAACACTGTCTCAAAAACAAACAAACAGACAAAACAAAACAAAAAACCCACCAAAAAAAAAAAACAAACAAAACAAAAACCCAAAGCCCAGGCATGGCTTTGATCCAGTTCAGGATCACTTGGGTCTATGTGTCAAATTCAAGCACAGTCAGAGCTACATAGAGAGGCCCTATCACAAAAAATAGAACCATAAAAACTAAGCAAAAAGCCTCTGAAAAAGTGAGCTGTGGGGCTAGAGAGATGGCTCAGCGGTTAAGAGTACTGACTGCTCTTCCAAAGGTCCTGAGTTCAATACCCAGCAACCACATGGTGGCTCACAACCATCTGTAATGAGATCTGGTACCCTCTTCTGGCTTGTAGACATACACGCAGACAGAACACTGTATATATAATAAATAAATCTTTAAAAAAAAAACAAGTGAGCTGTGGTATCCTACACCTTTAATGTCAGCAGTGGGAAGACAGAGGCAGGCAAAATTCTGTTAGTTTAAGAGAAGCCTGGTTTACATAGTTAGATCCAGGACAGCCAGGGTTATTTAGTGAGACCCTGTCTCAAGAAAAAAAAAAGGAGGGGGGGGGTGAAGGGTAGATGTGAGGGCTGGAGAGGTGCTCAGTGGTTAAGAGTTTTTAGTGCTCTTGAAGAGGACCCATGTTCAGGTCCCAGGACCCATATCAGGCAGCTCACATCCACCTGCAACTCCAGCTCCAGGATGATCCAACACCTCTGACCTCCCAGGCACCTGAAGTCATGTGCCCACAGCCATAAAAAAACACATGCGCACACACACACACACCACTTTAAAAATGATAATATACCATCTTTTAAAAAATGAGAAGAGGAGCTGGGCAGTGGTGGCATAGGCCTTTAGTCCAGCATTCGGGAAGGCAGAGACATGTAGATCTCTGTGAGTTCAAAGCCAGCCTGGTCTACAGAGTTCCAGGACAGCTACGACTACAGAGACACCCTGTCTTAAAAAGCCAAAAAAGGAAAAAAAAGAAAAAAAAATTAGAAGAGAAACTGTCAAGTTTGTGGATCTATACTAGATAGTTCATTTGCCCATGGTTATATTAGGATGCTCTCATTTATGCAAAGGACTTCTAAGTTTTCCAACTTGTCTGTCCCACTTAAGGCTGATAAACAGCTCTAATACCAATCCTTTCTTTGGATATATATCTCATTACCATCTTATTATTCTTTTTCATGGTCAGTTTCCTGGAAAGCCTTCCCTAGACCTTATCACCTTTCTCTGTCCTCAGGGTTTTTTTAGATTGTCGATTATGCTTTCACTGAGTGAATCTCCCGGAAAGCCCCTAGGGCACTGGCTGAGTCCACTCTTGTAGTCAAATACAGACATGTGGGATTTAAGGATTTTTTTTTTTTGAGGAAGGGTCTCACTTTGTAGCTGTGGCTGGCCTAGAACTCAGAGATCCAGCTGCTTCTGCCTCCCAAGAGCTTTGATTAAGGTGTGCACCACAATGCCCATCTCTGAGGGATTTTGGAAGGGAACCAGGGAAACGTTGGTCAGGACTGTATGTATGCCATGCCGGCTTCAAACACCTTGTGTAGCTTAGGAGGACCTTGAAATCCTGATTCCCCTGCCTTTACCTCCCCAAGTGCTGGGATTAAAGGCCTGCAGGACCATGCCCAGGCCAATAGGATTATTGTGCTGGACACCAGACATTACATACAATAATCCTTTCTAGAAATTCATACATGACACACATTGGTATTTCCTTCTAAATAACTACAAGAAAATTTGTTTGGTTGGAATGTTTTGTTTTATTTGGTTATTTGGTTGTCTTTTTTTTTGAAACAATGTCTCATGTGGCATCAGCCAGTTTTGAACTCACTATGATCTTTCCACTGTAACCTCCCCAATGCTGGGATTACAGATGTGTTACCACGCCCAGCCAATCATGCCCTCCGACCTTCAATTCAGCTTATTTGGGGAAGGAAGGACACGAATGACACAACACATATGTAGAAGTCCGTTCTCTCTGCCACCTTTACATGGTTCCAGAGATTGAACCGAGGTGGTAGGGCTCGCTCATGTGACCAGCACTTTTACCTACTGAGCCACCTCACCAGACCCATTGACTTTCAATTTGAGCCAGCAAAATCCATGGGATAATTCTTGAAGGAAAGTCAGCAAAAAAGTAAATGTTCTCATTTTCACATTATGGAGAACAACATCTTGCAAAGAAAGCATGCTGGGAAAACGCCTAAATAAGCATTAAAAAAAACATGTTGGGTATCAAGAGGGCAATAACTGGCCTAAGATGTAAGATACTAAAAGTATGCTGGTTTAAAAAAAAAAAAACATTATCTGGGCTGGAGAGATGGCTCAGTGGTTAAGAACACTAGCTGCTCTTCCGGAGGATCGGGGTTCAATTCCCAGTACCCACATAGCAGCTCACAACTGTAACTCCAGTTCCAGGGGATTGATACCTTCACACCATATGCACATAAAAGTTAAATTATTTAAACAAGCAAAAACAGCATCTGTTGGAATAACTGAGTACAGTCAGTCTTTCTAATTCTTGTACTGATACCCCCAAATACAAGCTCTGAGAACTGTTATTCTTAAAGTTATTATGAAAACTCTCAAAATAGATAATAATCATCAGTACCTGAAATCAATGAGTCCTTCAGCCCAAAGCACTAATCCCAGGGCAAACCAGGGGATATGGTCACTTTTAAGATACTTATCAAACAGTTGTATAAGACAGTGGTTCAGATGCATATCATTTCATCAAGATTCACAGAACTCACTTTCTGAAACAAGTAAAAGCTGGGCAATTCTGTCATACACTTCTGATCTGTCTTGAATTTATTCTACACCTCCTTTGTAATTCTTAACCCGAAGACCCTGGACATGTTTCCAAGTTCATTATTTCAAAACAAGTTAATATGACAAAGTATCTAAATGATGCAAAAATACATACATAAGTTTGGGTTTCTAGCTATACAACCATTCAAACAGTATATAAGAGTCATTAATTAACACATCATCCTTCAATTTAACCAGGCAGATTACATCTGAACTGACAGCACTACTCACCTTTAAGACAGAGGCTAAGCTGGTCATATGCTCATGAAGGGCACCCTCAGACTCCTTATAGGTCAAGCAAGTGAACTGGTACTCTTCGGGATCAAAAGCATCAGCCCCCTGCTGCTCCACATCACTGGCTACTCCCACATAGTAGTCCTCTATGTCCCCAGGGTCCTCTTCCTCTTCTTCCTCTTCCTCACAGTTTGGGTCATAGTCCTCTTCATTGCTGTCAGACCCCTGGCTGTTCATGTCCACGGACATCTTAACATCCAGCCAAATTGCAGATCAGGAAACCAGTTGCTTTTTCCCCTCCCCCCAACTTTATCGCTTTCTCAAATGCATTAGTGTTTTTGTCTTCTAAGAGAGAAAAAAAAAAAGTATTACTATTTTTCTATGAGAAATTATTCAAGAACCAAAATAACACAGCCCTAGCCCTGCTCCTATTATAGCCTATTTCAGTTCTTACTCAGATCCACCTGCCTCCAGAGTGTTGGGATTAAAGGAGTGCACCACCACCTGCTCAGCTGCCCAACTCAATTCTGGTTTCACTGAGAACACCTCACTATCAATCTTATCAATTTGATAAGTTGGCCTATGCTTATCAAAGAGAAGTCCTCACTAAGAGACAGAACCCATGATGACAAATAAACATGAAAGGCATGAATATATAAGAATGTCTTTCCTATGGCAAGGACTCATATTCCAAAGATACTTGCCTTCAATCCTGAAATTATTTCAAACCTGGTACCAAATGACAGGAGAGAAGTGACTCAAGTTGTTCCCTGACCTCTACACAAGAAGCACTCACACACAGACATATACAATAAATAATAAATAAATGAATGCCTTTTTTTTGGTTTTTCAAGACAGGGTTTCTTTGCACAGCCCTGGCTGTCCTGGAACTCACTCTGTAGACCAGGCTAGCCTTGAACTCACAGAGATCCACCTGTCTGCCTCCTGAGTGATGGGATTGAAGGCATGCGCCACCACGCAGCAGCTTTTTTTTTTTTTTTTTTTTTAAGGACTCCAAAATTCCGATGGATTTGTCCTTTTTTTGCCAGGTCCTTCAGGGAAAAATGTATCTTCATAGCTAGCTGTACAAATGGAGGAATTACAAAAAGAATACCCAATTAAGGACACAGTCCTATCTCACTATGACTTGTAGGGAAAGAAAACTGCTGTTTCACAAACAACTATCATATATCTGAAAGATAGGTGCACAGATAGGAAAAAAAGTCTCATACTCCTTCAACATCTTCCTCTAGTCTACCAACTTAACTAATTTTCCAATTGTAAGAATTCTGCTCCCCAGGTGGTGTTGGCACACACCTTTAATTCCTAGCACTCAGGAGGCAGAGCCAGGTGGATCATCTCTGTAAGTTCGAGGAGACCAGCCTAGTCTACAGAGGACAGGCACCAAAACTACAAAGAGAAACCCTGTCTCAAAAAAACCAAAAAAAAAAAAAAATAAATAAATAAAAAATAAAAATCTGCTAAAGTCTTGCATGGTTGAATGCGTCTGCAACTTGCCCTTAAAAAGCTGAGGCAAAAGCTGGGCAGTGACTGCACACACCTTTGATCCCAGCACTTGGGAAGCAGAGGTAGGTAGATCTCTGAGTTCAAGGCCAGCCTGGTCTCCATAGTGAACTCCAAGACACCAGGGTTACATAGAAAAACCCTGTCTCTTAAAAAAGAAAAAAGAAAAAGAGAGAGAGAGAGATAACCTTTGGCTGAAAGTAGGTAAAGATGCCTGACACCAAGTCAAGCAACTAGAGTTCAATCCCTAAATCCACATTATTAGGAAAGAACCAACCAAATGCACATCAACATAATAAAATTAAGGAAAGAGCTAATGTTTAAATCACCTGCAATTTTTTTAAGATCTTTCCTGAAGGTATCACTCAAACAGTGTTTCATATGATTTCCATCTGAAATGAAAAGAAACAATATTTATGTTTTTAAAACTGATATCCTGCTCTTGCAAGTTTTTGCTTCTTTTTTTTTGAAAGGGGGGGGGGTGTTTCCAGACAGGGTTTCTCTGTGAAGCAGTCCAAACAATTATCATGGAAGATTATTTCCAAAATAATGGGAAAATAGCTAGACATTGTGAGGTACTTGGGAGGCAGAGGCAAGTGGATCTCTTGAGTTTGAGGGTAACCCAGTCAGTCTATGTATTAAGTTCCAGGTCAGTCAGTGCTAAAAGATCTCAGTACTCCAGAGGCAGAGGCAGGCAGATCTCCGAGTTTGAGGCCAGCCTAGTCTACAGAGTAAGTTTCGGGTAGCCAGGACTACACAGAGAAACCCTGTCTTGAAGAAACAAAAAATAAAATGGAATAATTGACCTATTTAAATTTTTTCTCTTTTACCTGTATTTTCACATAAGACACTTCTATAGGGCAAATAGAACCTATGGTGATATAGTGTCCCCCAATATATTGTGCACCCTCATAAACTTATCTGGGGTCAGAGAACAGAACAGCCACTAGACAGAGGCCAGAAAATGGTGGCACACATACCTTTTAATCCTAGCATTCCAGAGGCAGAGATCCATTCAGATCTCTGTGAGTTCAAAGCTACACTGGAAACAGCCAGGCTTGGTGACTCACACCTTTAATCTTAGGAAGTGATGGCAGGAAGCAGAAGGGTGTGTAAGGCGTGAGGACCAATAATAGCCTTGTTTAGTGACAGCCAAGGGGGGTCAGTCATTCTGATATAATCTTCATACAAAACGGCTTACAATGGCTGAGCATGGCGGGAAACACCTTTAACCCCAGCACTTGGAAAGTCAGAGACTGGTGGATCTCTGTGAGTTTCAGGCCAGCCAGAGTTGCATGGTGAGATCTTATCTCAAAAACATAATAAAAACAGAAGGTTTACAAATGAGGAAGCTGGAATTTACATAGGCTAACTAACTACCTTGCCCAGGATCATACAAAGCCAACTGGCAGAGGCAGCATCAGGGTTCTATTTGATTGACGGTCTAAGGAGAGTCTGATTCAAAGCTACAGAACTCTCACCAACCAGACAGCATGCTTTCAAATTCTCTCATTTCTCCTTAGGATCCGTGAGAAGATGGCTTACAGCTTTTCACCAACCAAATATTCAAGTAGGTGGGAATCCAGGTTCTCTCAAAGACTTGGCTGTTTCATACTTCCTGGTGTTCTAGGTCCAGATTTAAATAAAGCTCTTTTTAAAAAAATCTTTTAAAAACACATATTTTGGAGACAAGGTCTCACTACATAGACCTCGTTGTCCTCAAACTCACACAGAACATAGTCTCCTGAATGCTGAGATTAAAGGTGAGTGCCACCATTAGGCTGTCAAAAGATTCTTGAAGGCATACTGGCCTTGCTGAGCTTGGTGGCACATTCTGGGAATCCCAACTTGGGAGCTTAGGAAGGAGGACCAAAAGTTGGAGAACAGCTTGAGCTACATAGCAAGACACTGTCTCAAAATACACACAGAAAACTGAGTCCTGGCTTTGTTCAAAGGGGCCAATGTGCCAGTTCCTTAATATGAGAAGGTATTCAAGATGTTAAATATGCCTATATCTCAGACAGAATGGCACAATTAGTACTTTTTCCAAGAGCCAAGCCATCAAAGCTGCCACTCATTCTGAGCTGGCTTCTAAGACATGGTCACAAATAAGGATAAAGATCTCTTAAAATTGACAAGAGCACAGAAATTTGGTTAGTCTAACATGTTTACTCCAATTATGATACTTGGCCCTCAATGGTCATTTATTAACTATATTTTCGAAGAAAACTACTTGGCCGAAAAATATGAATCAGCAACTTGTTTTAAAACTCCGCACCCGCCGGGCGTGGTGGTGAACGCCTTTAATTCCAGCACTTGGGAGGCAGAAGCAGAGTATCCCTGTGAGTTCGTGGTCAGCCTGGTCTACATAGTGAGTTCCAGGGCAGCGAGGACTATGTAGAGAGACCCTGTCTCAAAACAAAACAAACAAAAACAAAACTCGGCACGGTATCTGTCCAAATAATGGTCCGTAGCCACTAATTACACGAGCTATCTAAATTCTACTTTAAAAAGTAAGAAAAGTTTAGTTTCTCGGACGTACTAACTGCATGTCAAATACTACATGGCCCTGAGTGGCTGGTGGCTACCATGCTCAACACCAAAGGTCTAGAACGTGCTCGTCGCAGACAGAAAGTTCTATGAGCAACAATCAGAACTACAGCGAACTCGTCCGAGAACGCCGCCGCCGCTCTCGAGTCTGGACCAGTGGCCTCGGGCGTGACCGCACGTCTCTCCGGAGCGCCGTGGTCCTCCAGAGATCCGCGCGAGGACACGGCACCCACGCGCAGGGAGGACCTTTCCCACGATGAGCGTTAACAAACACTCCGCCAGCAAAAGCTCCAACACACGACCTACATCGGGAGCCTCGGGGGTGGCGCGTTTTCCTGGAGCGCCCAGCGGGGCAGGCCCGGGTGTACCGGCGCCCGCCAGTCCGAGGCGCTGGCCTCCGACCTCTCGGTGAGCCAAGAAGGCAACAAGAGGAGAAACCGCGCCGGCACGCCGGGCCGCAGCGGCGCCGGCTCCTGCCGCCGGGAGTATCTCCCAGTCAGCAGGGAACGCCAGGACCCGGGACACCCCGAACTCGCAGGCGGCGCCGGGGAGGCGCGCGGGGGACCCCCCCCCTCCAGCGGCCAGCCAGAGTAAACAAGGCCTCAACTCACGCCGCGCACTTACCGGGAGCCGCGGCCCCGCGGCCGCAGAGCCCAGGCCCGCCAGACCAGGTCAAGCCGGACCAAAGGAGTCTGACTGGAGCGCGGCGGCAGCGGAGGCGGCGGGCGGACGCGGGTCGGGCCCGCGCTACCTATTCCGGCGGAGCCGTCCCCGCAGCTCCGGAAGTGTTCTGTGCAGGCGCGTCACTTCCGGCAGGGGTCGGCCCGCGGTCGCCGGAGAAGCTAAGAGGCTGCTGACAAGCGCGTAGTCGTAGGAACTGCTTCCGAGCGGTCCTGGGTCGAGAACGTCGAGTCGCGCCGGGAGAAACTGCCCCGAGTTCGCCTTTTGAAGAAATGATCTAGACATTTCCCCCCGCTTTAGCCTACCGGCGCCTTTATTCGATATATATTTTTATATTTTCTTACATTTATTTTGCGTGTGCCACAGCTCGCGTCTAGAGGTCAGAGGACAACTTTCGGGAGTCAGGTTCTCTCCTTCCAGCATGTGGGTTCCGAGGATCAAACACTTGTCAGGCTTGGCGGCAAGCTCATTTTACCCACGGAGCCGTCTCTCAGCCCCTTAGCTGAGTTATTTTTAACTATCCTTTTTTCTGACCGTCCCCTCACTTCCCTGTTCATACTCTGACGTGGAGCATGAGAAGACATTCAGGCGGTAATGGAGAAGGTAAAAGGATCATAGTTTCCAGGCAACTGTGGTTTGACAAGACATACTCGGAATTTCTGCCTATGTTTGGAGGAAGTTCTGGCCTGTGACATCAGGCTTTGGCTTCTTCTTTCATTCACCTTGCACGACCGATATTTATTGTTTTGTTTTGAAAAGCGACTCAGTATATAGCCATGGCTGGTCTGTGTTGCTCCTGAACTACCAGGCCCAGCGATTCATCCATCTTACGTGTTGTGCTGCACAATTTCTGCCCACAACATAGACTGTCGTTAGGACTCCAGTCCATTCTAGGACCGATCACCAAGTGTTGACAGAGTGAAGCCGGTATTGCTGGGTAGTAAATGTTTGGTTGTGCAAATCGGTAGATAACCTATTTTCTATCTTTTCTCGAATGTATGTACTGGTATTCAAGACACTCATCTGAGTGGGGTGTTGTAGCACGAATCTTAAAAGGTCTTATTAATAAAAACAAACGTGGAGCCAGGGGTTGGGGTGAACGCTAAAAGATCAAAGAAACAAGCCACAGCCAACCTCACGTGGCCAATTCCTCAGCTGATCTTGTTGCCTCAGACTGAAAGCCTCAGAGTCCTCATCTGAATGGATCTCAGCTGAACTGCTGCTAAAAGCTTAAAAAGGCTCTAGTTCCTGGTCCTCACGCCTTATGTACCTTTCTGGTTCCTGCCATCTCTTCCTGGGATTAAAGGCGTGTGTCACCATGCCTGGCTGTTTCCAGTGTGGCTCTAAACTCACAGAGATCTGAATGGATCTCTGCCTCTGGAATGCTAGGATTAAAGGTGTGTGCTCCCACTGCCTAAACCTATGTTTAATATAGTGGCTGTTCTGTTCTGACCCCCAGATAAGTATATTGGGTTACACAATATATCAACCACAGGGTGTAGTGGTGAATGCCTGAAGTCACGTTACTCAAGAGACTGAGGCAGAAAAGAAAACGGTGTATAATAGACTCTTATAGCACTGGGAGGTTGGCGTGGCCGTTAAAAGCTCTTACTGCTCTTTCAGGGGGCCTGAGTTTCATTCCCTCTGTGATGCACATCTCAATGGCCTCACAGTGTCATGTAACTCCAGCTCCAGAGGATCTGAAGCCTTCTTCTGACCTCTTCAGACTCACATATAAGCCAAACAATACTTTAAGATAGACTGTTTCTATGTGTCCCTGGATAGCCTGAAACCCTATGTAGACCTTAAACTCACTAACTCACTTGTGTGCACCCCCATGCCCTAATTAAAATATATAAAAATTTGGGTCAGGTACCAAATCAGGGGTAATCAATGCTGAAAGTCTCTAATTTGGAATGAGAATTAATAGTACTTGGGAGGCAAAGGCTGGGAGGAATCACTGCAAGTTCCAGTCCAGCCTGGTCTACATAGAAAGTTTCAGGCCAGGCAGACAGCCTGGGTACATAATCAAAGATTATCTTTAAAAATAAAAAAATAGGTTATAAACCAGTGTGCTAGTTGCTTTTACAAAGTAGATTTCACTCTGAAGAGAACCTCAACTGAGAAAATGTCTCCATCAGCTGTAGCTAGAGTGTTCCTGCCTGGCCCACAGTCAGGACAAATCTCTATCACCCACCAGTTCCACAGCCGCTCAGACCCAACCAAGTAAACACAGAGACTTATATTGCTTACAAACTGTATGGCCGTGGCAGGCTTCTTGCTAACTGTTCCTATAGCTTAAATCAATCCATTTCCATAAGTCTATACCTTGCCTCTTAGCTTACTGTCGTCTTCACATGCTTCTTGTCATGGCGGCGGCTGGCAGTGACTCCTTCTGCCTTCCTGTTCTTTTATTTCTCCTCTCTGTTAGTCCCGCCTATACTTCCTGCCTAGCCACTGGCCAATCAGCATTTTATTTATTGACCAATCAGAGCAATTTGACATACAGACCATCCCACAGCAATCAGCTTGGCCTGTAGGCAAGCCTGTGGGGCATTTTCTTGATTAATGCTTGATGTAGGAGGGCCCAGCCAACTGTGGAGAGTGCCACCCCTTGGTAGGTGGTCCAGGTAATATAAGAAAGTAGGCTGATGGGGCTGGAGAAAGAACACCTGGGTTCAATTCCCAGCATCCAATTGGCAGCTCACAATTCTCTGACTCCAGTTCCAGGGCATCTGACAACCTCACACAGACATGCATGCAGGCAAATACCAATGCACATTAAAAAAAAAAAAAAAAAAAAAGTCAGGCTGAGAATCCACAGGGATATGTTGTTTGTTGGTCTTTGGTATTTTTTGGGGGTCCTGCCCCCCAGCTGCCAAATAAATTCGCATACGGGGGCTTATTATTACTTATGAATGCCTGGCCATAGCTTGGCTTAGTTTCTAGCCAGCTTTTCTTAAATTATTTTTGACTAATTTTTTTGCCTCTGAGCGTTTCCTGTTCTCTTACGTCTGTAAATCTCACTCTTACTCCGTGGCTGGCTGTGTGGCTGGGTGGCTGGCCCCTGGAGTCCCCCTCCTTCTCTAGCTTCTACTTCCTTTCACTTCTCCATCTCTTTCCTTCCTCTTCTCCCAGGTTTCTCCTTCTGTATATTCTCTCTGCTTGCCAGCCCCACCTGTCCTTTCTCCTGCCTCTCTATTGGCCTTTCAGGTCTTTATTAGACCACCAGGTGTTTTAGACAGGCAAAGTATCACAGAGTTAAACAAATGCAACATAAACAAAAGTAACACACTTTAAAATAATATTTCCCCAACGGGGACCAAGCTAGTAAGCAATAGTCCTCCCTCACCCTTGCTTCAGTCTTCCTTCAGTGCCAGAGACCTGCTTACCTGCTTTGGTGGGGTGGGAGGGGGTTCAGGTTCCAGTGAGGACGTGTATAGTGGGAGGGAGGGCGGAGAGGCAGGACAGGCTCTGAGGGTCAATTGGGATGGCTGCCAGCAGCTTTTAATTGAGAAAAGAGTACACTTTTTTTTTTTTTTTCCTTCTCGAGACAGGGTTTCTCTGTGTAGCTTTTGGATACTGTCCTGGAACTCACTCTGTAGCCCAGGCTGGCCTTAAACTCATAAGAGATTCATTTGCCTCTGCCTCCCAAGTGCTGGGATTAAAGGTGTGCGCCCCTACAGCCCGGCCAAGATTACACTTTTTATACTGTATAGTTGCACATAGGATTATCATGAGACAAGGCGAGTGTGAGCTGGGATGTGGAGTGAGATCAAGGGTTGAGGAATCTAGCATTGACCTTGACAATAGGCACCAAGTCATGCTAATAGAAGGGCCACAAGTTCTAGCAAGAGCTCAAGATAAGAAGAATGATTGCTTTATCAAAGCAGCAACTTTCCTCAAGTTCCCATGGGAATGAAGACCCTTATCCAAATGCCTGACTTTGGGAAAAGGACTTCTGGGGAGCAGACACTATACTAGTTTCTTAGTCTTACTCCATGGGCCTGTTCCCCTCATAATGCTCCCAAAAAATGAAGGTCCTGGTATCTTACTCTTTTCCATTATAATGTACCATTCTGATTTCTCTGTATTTATTAACCAAATTCTTGCCTTTAATGGCCTCAAGCTCTGAATCTGAATTGTAGGCATTTAATCCTTGGGATCAGGTATGTCTAGTAAATCTCTAACTTTTCTGTTCTTGGTGTAATTGAGAGAGCATGTCAGAATTCCTGGTAACACAGTGGTTGGGATTTTTTTTCCCAAATATTTTTTTTAGAGAGGCTACCATTGTACACATTTTTATCCTCTACCAAAGTCCATACAAGAGTTCCCAAAGGGAAAGGCATTAATATTGAGAATCATTAAAAATGAAAGTAAAAAGGTGCTGGAGAAGTGTGCTTTGCAATGTTGAAATGCTGGAACTTTGTCTAACAGCAGTGGTCACCATGCAGTCCACACACTCCAGGTTCCTGCCTCAAGTCCTTTTTTTTTTTTTTTCGGTTTTTCAAGACAGGGTTTCTCTGTGTGTAGCCTTGGCTGTCTTGGAACTCAGTACTCTGTAGACCAGGCTTGCCTTGAACTCAGAGAAATCCACCTGCCTCTGCCCCTGAGTACTGGGATTAAAGGCGAGTGTCACCACCTCCTGGCTGTCACAGCCTTATCACAGCAATAGAAAGCAAACTAGAACAACCAGTCTACTTGGGTAATTGAGTGGACAAAACCTATCTGTAGATGGGAGTTTCTCTGGTCCCGCCTGGCCTGCAGTCCCACAGCCGCTTATAAAATGATCACTCAGAAGCTTAATATTAATTATAAACTGTCTGGTCTATGGCTCAGGCTTCTTACTAGCTAGCTCTTACATCTTAAATTAACCCATTTCTATTAATCTATAGATTAATCACATCTGTAGACCAGGCTGGCCTCGAACTCACAGAGATCTGCCTGGCTGTGCCTCCCGAGTGCTGGGGTTAAAGGCGTGTGCCACTACTGCCAGCCTCTAATTTATTTTTTATCATGACTAAGGAAAACTATTATTATAACTATCTATCTAGTCTTCAGCTTCATCAAAGACCCCAGAAGGATATAATATTACCTAAGTAAACAGGAAGTGCTTTGAAAGC